ACAACATCTTTGTTGGTATGTGGTGCTGAGGATCGAACCCGGGCCGCACGCATGCCAGGCGAGCGCGCTACCGCTTGAGCCACATCCCCAGCCAGATAAATTTTTTTCAATACTTTTTTGGTTAAATTAGACATTTTTTATTGTATGAGAACCTATTTATTTAGCTTAAGCCCACTGGTTCCCCACTCATGAAGGATCCTAAAAACATTGGTAATCCTATGCTTTTGATATCAGCACATACCTTTAAAAAGTAGTCATARTTGGAAGATTACCTGTATGTCAATTTATGTCACCACATAAAATAGTATTACTATTTTGTTGTTGTTATTGTTTTTGTTTTTGAGGAAAAAGAAAGTTTTATTGCTTTTCTAGCAAAGAGAAACACAGAGGACTGCTACCCAAAGGCTGTGATTCTGCCCACCAGCAGGAACAGGGGACTTTTAAAGAGGTGATTCAAAGGCTACATCCCACATGTTCTCTGTTGGAGTTGTAACTCACTTGTTAATTTGGGAGATAGTCATTTGTGAGATCTTCTGGTACTAGCCCCAAAGGATTACTTAATTCCTATGGCAGGTGTGTACCCAAGGACAGCTAAATCTGTCTTAAATAAGAATGGTAATCCTATTTCCCCTAAGACTAGGGAAAGGGAGAGCCCTGTCTGATTTTATAGCCATAAAAACAGATCATAAAACTGACAGATCATTAGAGCTAAAACTCGGTTCACTCACTTGACTACCACCATGCTCCGTGTTGATGTAACGTGGCATTGGGAAGCGGGCTTGCAGAATTTCTTGAGCGTCATCCAATGGTGCCTGCAAAAGGTGCTTGAAATTTTCGTACTCAGGCATGTCTTGGTAGCCAGCTTTCTGCCACTGGGCTATGGTCTATGTTAAAAAACAAAAAAGCAAACAAACAAACAAACAAAACTGTATGGAAACATTATAATGTCAGCCCTCATCAATGTTCAGACATGCTACCACTCCGAACATCCAGAACATGTTCCCAGTGAAGTCTTGTGTTAAAAATGAGAAGTTTCTGAGGGAAGTAAAGCAGAGCTGGCTAGGAGGAGGAGAAATAGGAGCTGGTAAACAGAGTGCATACAAGGCACCACCTATGTAGTTCTCCCAGTCACCAGTTACACCTCATCTTCCCTTTCTAACTATATACACTAACTAGTTAACAAAGCCCATGTATTAGTTATCCCAAGGAGCCATGGCCTCCTTTCCATCCCACTTCCATTGTTATCATAAAGTCTAAACAGTCATTTTTTCATTCTTCATAGGCTGGCTGCCTACAAAGAATCTGTGCCCTCGTCTCTTTTCTTAATAGTATACACACATTATACTCTTCCTCTGTCATACAGATTGGGTGGGTCTCACCCATCCCCATCCCTTGCTCCTCCTGGGCCCTGAGTTGAAATACTCTTGGCAGGGGGATAAAAGCTGTAAGAAAGTACCAGTGTTAATTAGGCAATGAAGAGAAGGCAATATAATAAACTATGGAAAATATAGGTTATTTGTCTCCCTATGGGGCTAAATACTTTGTATCTTATTCCCTTTTCTGTAGTCCTCGGAAATATCTTATATACACAGGAAATCAAGAAATACTTATTATTATTTTTATTTAAACTTTTTTGTAGTTATAGATGTACCACATGCCTTCATTTTATTTTATTTTTAAGTGATGCTTAGAATCAAACCTAGTGCTTCACACATGCTAGGCAAGTGCTCTGCCACTGAGCTACAGCCAACCCAAGAAATACTTAACTAATCTGTGTATCTTATGGGTAAATTAGAGTTCTTTCTCCTTTTATTTTAGGGATACAAAAAAAGAAAAAAATGGAGAGGAAAACCCAAAAGATATAGCAAGTGTTCAATGAGTTTTAGCAACAGAACTATAAATATAACATCAGAGGACCCTCTTTAGATGGCTCCTTCCACAGCCTKCTCTCCTGGTCTTCTCAAAATTGTCAATTACCATTTCCTAGTCTTAATTTTTTTACTGACTGGTGACCTGGAAGAAATGCCTATAAGCTCACTTGGGTCCAAGAGTTCATAAGAACCCCCAAAACCAGTAGACTTAGGGATTTGGGAGAGCAAAAACAATATTATTGATTTTGTCTTTAGAAGCCCTAACTTGCTCACAGAAGGTGCTTAACAAATATATGAATGAATAAGACTGGGGGCTGCATTAAATATCTATAAGGGGTGAGCTGAGGCCAAATGAGGTTATACTGTTAGTAAGAGCAGTTAGCTGATCAAGTGGCAGGCAGAGTGGGTGTTTAACATGCTGAAAAAAGTTTCAAGATAAAAAATATTGACTAGTATTAGAAAACTAATATTTCCTAGGTTAATTCTAAAACATTATCTTCTCAAGACATTCAAAATCACTTCTAATATTGAGACTCTAGGAAGTCAAATCAAGTGCCTAAGCAATTTACTGAATGTAAATAATGAACAAGAGAAAATCCATCATTGCTGAATATAATACTCAATAAAAGGATTTTTCTCTCATAAAGATGCAAATAATTCAGAGGAACCATTCCCCTTTGGAATCCACTTCTTTAATAAATGGATACTTTCCTGGAAGCCATACACAGCCAATTAAAGGATCCACAGAACCAGAGTAATGTTTTTTTATGTTATTTCATCCAAGAAAAAATATAGCCCCAAACATAACTCTAATATAACACTGAAAGGACAGTAGTATGCATAAAAAGTTTACTAAAGAATAAACTGGTCTTGCCTAAAATTTACTTCATAAAGTAATCAATTACAGTGATTTAAAAGATACCTGAGATTTACTAACAAATATATTAAACACACAAAACATACAAATATCCCACAGACCTGAAAAAAGATTTTTGTCTCATTTAGAATTAAAGTCATGATATTCATTATATTAAACTGTGTATTTTCCTAAGACCAATTTTGTGTGGTGAGGGGAGGTGGCAGTGGAAGGGTGCCACTTACTAGAGATTAAACACAAGAGTGCTTTACCAATGAGCTACATCTCCAAACCTTTTTATTTTTGAGACAGGTCCTCCCCAAGTTGCCGAAGCTGACCTCAAACTTGCAATCCTCCTGCTTTAGCTTCCTGAGTCACTGATATTACCGGCATGTGCCACTACACTAGGCTCTAAGCTCAAATTCTTGTTTCAAATGCATTAAAAAAATAAATAAATAAAATAAATAGCAAGAAAAAAAATAAGTCAGTAAAGAAACTAATAATACCATCTTACCTCACCAAGATAAATGACAATTTGGAAGAAAGTATCCATCAGCAAAATTCTGTCCGCCAGAATGCTGCTGCTATCCAAGAGAACTGGCTAAGGAAAAAAGGAGATATGTCATTGGTCTTCCTTCTTCCCCACACAGCAACCACTCTAATCCCACACCCAGAGCTTGCTGAACAGTGAAAAAAGCTATTTACAAACGTTTTCCACCACTTTCTGGTTTCTAACTATGTGGTTTTAAGTCTCAACTTCACAGACAGAGGTCCCAAACAATCCTTTATCAATTGGGATGAGAATTTAATGATACCTTGAGATCTAGAAACCAGAAATCATTTTAAACTTTCTCAGTTTTGTGCTAGAAATCTATTTAATGAATCCAATGTTTCTCTCAAATCTATTTGAGCTGTAGTTGAGAGGGAATGGGGTTGCCTACATGAAAAACAGAATTTTATACAAGTCTTAACAGTTTACTACAAAATACTTTTATTATGATTTTTATTTTAATTTAAAAATACTTTCGTTACATTAAAAATAAAGAAGAGCATGCACATCCAGCCTTACCTCTGGTGGCCCGTGGAATGAGTAGGAGTAGAGAATGGGCTGGATCATGATGAGAGACTGAGTCAGATCCTGCCTGGCAAAGTGGTGTCTATAATAGGACGACTCATCAGGACTGTTGTTAAACACTTGAAGAAATGGAGATCTTCTAAGATGGAACATGAACTGCATTTACCAAGGAAAAAAAAGACGAATGCACATAGTTACAACCTTGGATACACAAAGTGGATCCACCTAAGGTTTGTGAAACAGGAGAACCCAGATTCTAATAGAAGGCCTCTGGGTTCACAAAGAAAGAAGCAGAAGGTGACACCAAGGAGTAAGGGAAGAGGAAAAGGAGGAGTTGTTGTTTAACAGGTGTAGAGTTTTAGTTTTCAAGATGARAAATTCTAGAGATCTGCTGCACAACATTAAGTACAATATTAAGTACACTAATGTACTTAATATTACACATTGTACTTTTAAAACATAAGAAGGTACATTCTATGTTATGTGTTTTTTACCATGATTAAAAATTTTTAAGAAAGTTTTTTCTGTTGTTGTTTTGTTTTGGTACCAGGTATTAAACCCTTTGGGCACTTAATCATAGAGCCATATCCCCAGCCCTTTTTATTTTTTATCTCCAGATGATCTCACTAAGTTGCTTTGAGCCTCACTAAGTTGCTGAGGCTGGCTTTGAACTTGTGATCCTCCTGTCTCAGCCTCCTGAGCCACTTGGGATTATAGGTGTGTACCACTGCCCCCAATTAGAAAATTTCATTTATTTGTTTATTTATGTTTGGTACCAGAGATTAAACTCAGGGCCTTTTAATCACTGAGCTATATCTCCAGCCCTCTTTATTTTTTATTTTGAGACAGGGTCTCATTAAATTGCTGAGGGCCTTGATAAATTGCTGAGGCTGGCTTCAAATTTGTGATCCTCCTGCCTCAACCTCCCACACCACTGGGACTACGGACGTGTACCATCAGGCCCGGCAAGGAAGTTTATTGTCTTGTTCTTTCTCCCCCGCCTTTTTTTAAGCATTTCTGGATATTTCAAAGCTTCCATATAAAATGGGAGAGCAAAGAATCATTTTTTCCAGAGTTCCTGGGTTGTGATGTAATTTTCTCTCAAAGAAATTAAATCCAGTGAGGAAAAGACACAAATGGAGCTTTTGAATTATGAGCCAGGGTACAAGAAAATGGGCTTGGGGAAGGGAGTCCAGCAGGAGACTTCCCAAAGCTATAAGGCCTGAGGATATACTTTGAAAGACACGCATGAGGAGGCCAGAATTGGGTATGAGGAGGGATGGAGAAGGGGAGTCCGTGTACAGGAATGGTAGATGAGAGCTCAGGATAGACTGGTTAGTTGGAGGGAGGTTAAGTACAGGGGAGAATGGCACAAGAGATGACACTGGAAACGTATGTTCTTTATCCTAAGAATTAGAGAGGGCACAGCAGATGGTTAGCTCACTCTAAAGAGTTGCTAGAACATGAAAAGGAGCTGCATTTAGAAGTATTAAGTTTCTAACTCACCATATACTAAACCATAGGTTCCTAAATAATGTGGGCTGACATTTAAGGCATCTTATGTACCAGGCACAAAGGACTTGAAAAGAATTATTATTATTTTTTTTAAAAATGTGTTTTTTGGGGGCTGGGGATGTGGCTCAAGTGGTAGCATGCCTGCCTGGCATGCGTGCGGCCCGGGTTCGATCCTCAGCAACACATATAAACAAAGATGTTGTGTCCACCGAAAACTAAAAAATAAATATTAAAAAAAAATTCTCTCTCTTTCTCTCTCTCTGTCTCAAAAAAAAAAAAAAAAAAAAAAACCTATGCGATGAAGAAATGTGGTTTTTTAAATTTTTTTTTTTTAGTTGTTGATGGACCTTTATTTTATTTGCTTACTTATATGTGGTGTTGGGAATTAAACCTGGTGCCTCACACATACGAGGCAAGCACTCTACGTTGAGCTACAACTCCAGCCCCAAGAATGATTTAGTCCTTCCAATAAGCCCATGTGGGTTCTCTTGCCATCCTTAGTTTATAGGTAAGGAAACTGAGGTACAGAGGGGTAAGCAAGTTGCCCAATGTCACCTCACATCTGAGTGGCAGAGCTGGACTATAACCCAGGCATTTGGCTCCAGAGACTAGACTCTCAACCAACCCCATCCTAGAATGCCTTGACATAAGGAATCTTAGAAACCATCTGAACTGCTGGTTTCTAAACTGTGCTCTTCAGATTCTTAGTGAATCTTTGGGGCTTTGGGGTCAGAGGCTCTGATGTGACTCAGCCGGTGGGTGGTACATGAGGACAGAGCAGCACCAGTCTGTCAGCTTTATATACTGGCCTTTGAGGGAAAGTCCTCGGGAAGAAAGGATTACGTGGCTTTAAAGAGATTACAAACCAGTTCTCCAGATCACCTCCTCCCTTCTAAAGATGAGGAAACAAAAACCCACAGTGGTTTCTGATTTCAACGAAGATCAGCAGCTGCAGGGCCAGTGTTAGAGTTCCACCCTGACTGGCCTGTCCAGGACTCTTCCCACAATACCTCAAGGCCTCAGTCATTCAGACATAGGCTCCTGAAAGTCCCAGGCTCCCCACTGCCAGCAGGCTCACATTTATAAAGTGCTGCAGGTGCCTGACACCATGCTAGATATTTAATACCTGACTGGCCTCAGTTCATGTCACCCCTACCCCATAGTCACCCACTGCACAAGTTCTATTTCCTCATTTATAGATAGGAAAAGGGTTCATAAAAGTAGAATAACCTTTTATACCTACAGTTGAGTCTCAAAACATAAAAAGTCTTCACTTTACCCCAATGACAGATTTATTTCAATCATAACTTTTTGTTCTATAATTATTTTTTATTTATTTTTTCTTTTTCTTTTGCAATGCTGGGGATGGAATCTAGGGCCCTGTGCATGCCAGAAAAGTGCTCTATCGTTGTGCTCCATCCCCATCCCCTAAAAATATATATTTCTTACCTGAGGATATAGAGAAAAGGAATCTGATAACCTAAAAGAAGTGGGGTCTTCTTTGTTATACTGTCCAAACTTCTGACACTAGAGAAAGAAAATTTAAAAAGAAAATAGAAAAATCTTAGTGTCACCTGAAGAAAAATTTCAACACTATAAGCTATGTTACAACCTTACGTCTGCCATTTTCTTGTGTTCTAGACCAGCACTTCTCAGAGTAAGAGCAGAGAAATCACCAGAGCTCTTGTTAAACTGTTCTTTTCAGGAGGAGATAGAGATTCTGTATGCCTAGCCAGCTCTCAAGTAATGCTGGCCCAAGGTGCATCTGACCACCAAGGGGCTAGAAGAGCTATCTCAGGTGCCTCTTCCATGTGAAAACCCTCAAGACTATAAACCAGCAATTACAGACACACCCTGGCATTCTCTCATACTACAATTCAGTTTCCCCTTCTTTCAATGACAGGTTTCAAAACCACATTGTTTACTCTTCCTGGCTTAATTTCTGATCACATACTTCCTCAGCCACTAGAGAACTAGGCTGTCCACCAGTTAAAGAAACCCCTTCTCTAACAATTACCTTCTTTCTAATAAGTTTCATGTCTTCTCATAGTTCTCATCTTCTTGAGCTGATATAAGTCAGTTTCCCAAACTTCTTGAAATATTCTTTCAGTTGCTAAAATACCACTTTCCTATGTTTCTCCAACAAGTCTTCCCTGTCTTCTTTACAGGCTCCTTGTTTCTTTCTCCTCCTAACAATGGACTGCTCAGAGGTTAGTTCTTGGCTCTCTGCAGTCAAGGTGTACCTTCACCCTCCTTTGACGGTGATTTCTCCAATGATTCCAGCATAAGCTGAAAGGTACAGCTACCTCCCACAGGCTGGATCCACCTGCCATGTCTTGCCTTCTCTTCTATTATCCTACTCGTTATAAAAAAATTTGATTCAAGGCTCAATTCCCACATGTAGCCTTTGCCAACCTCTGATCATCTATCCTCCCTTTGAAATCTAGAGGAACAATTTTCAAGTTTTGTTTTAAGTATTAATATTTACTGATAAATGATTCCATGAGATAGTAAGGGCGAATAGAGGACTAAACAAAATTAAATAGGTTTCTTCCCTAAGCTTTAAATCACAAATATATGCTGTGATCTCTGAGAAAGTAAGATTATGTAGTAGGCCAATTATCAATTAACTGCTTTGTGGCTCCAAATTTACTCCTTCTGCCTGCTGTGAAAYGAATATGGGCCCTTTAACTACTTTGCCAGTTGGCATGATGTTCAGCTTTGCCAGAAGAGGATGAGGAGTCAAGTGGTACTTGCTGAGTACCAGTGTGGTCATGTGGCAGCTGCTTTAGCACCAGGTCCCTATATCTCTGTGGCCTTTCCAGTGCTGAGATCCTAGAGAACACATAGCCAGTAGATACTCCAGCATCTCATGTACCTCTACTGAGATACTTCTCTGTGAATAGCCTTCTCTAGTACCCAGATGATGAATTTTGTCAAATTCTAGACTGTTTCTAGCAAGTCCCTCTGGCACAGCACCATGGCAAGTTCTCTGGTATGAAGGAGTCATTGAGCCACAGCCACAATCTGGACCAGCCTTGGCCGGGGAGAGAGTGCTCTACCTCAGCACTAGAAGTCAGGTCTGTGCCTTATATCTGCCAGTTCTCTTTGCTTCTCAGTAGCTAACCTCTCCTTAACCTACTCCTCTGTTTTAATAATTCTTCATATAAAACCTTCCCTTCATTATTGTGTGATCTCCCTCCTCTTAGACCCAAACTAACAACATGAGGCATTTCCCTAAACTCAGTGTGTTTAGGTCCCTGTTTCCAAAAATCACCTTCCAGATATGGAAAATACAGGACCATAGCATTCACAAAATGACTCATCTAATTCAACTCATAACATGCACAGATTTGCATCACTCTCCAAACGTTCTGTGCATGTTGTTTCATCTCACTACAGTGTCAGTCTTTGAGGGAGAAATGTGCAGTGAATACTTCTTTCATATCAATCTCAAAATAATCAAGTGTTTGGCATAAGGTAAGTAATTGATAAATTCTTGCTGATAAATTATATAAAATAATAGGGTTAAAAGACAATTTTCTCAAAAGTGGACCAGAGAAAAAGACTGAATCTAATGCCATTATTCCCACTTTACCAGTCGGATGAGTTGTCGGTCCAACCATCGGAGCACATCGGGCCCCTCCTCTGATTCTGCCCGGAACACTCCAAGCCGTGCCATCAAAACTGCTGCAGCCTCCTGGTCAAATGCAGCTTCTATGTGCCTGAGCTGACTCTGTGCATCTGCCCAACTGACAATTTCAGAGTTAGTGCCACACATACATTCAGGAATGATCAGAAGGCCAGATCTCCATTTGGATAAACACAATCCTGTATCTTCATCTAAGACAACAGAGATTTGAACTGTGCTTTCACTAAGAGTCACTGGAGTTTAATATATTCTCAATAACCTTAATGTGACCTCTGAAGGCTATAAATTCTAAAGAAAAATTATAGAAAAAAGAAGCATTTAACTCATTGATAATGGGGTGGGGGGAGAAAGTAGGATATTGTTTTATATTTGCATGTTAAAAATTGGTAATATYAGGCTGGGGTTGTAGCTCAGTGGTAGAGTGCTTGTCTTTCACTCATGAGACCCTGGATTCAATCCTTAGCACTACATTAGATAAACAAATAAACAAAAATAAAGATATTGTGACCATCAACAACTGAAAAAATATTTTTAAAAATTGTAATATYGAGGCTGGGATTGTGGCTCAGTGTAGAGCACCTGCCTAGTACACATGAGGCACTAGGTTCGATCCTCAGCACCACATAAAAAAATAAAATAAACTGTTTCTATCTACAACTAAAAATATATATTTTTTAAAATCGATAATATCCATTATAAATGAGGCAACAGGGCATTCTTCTTAGACTACTGGGGAGAACACAAATTGGCCACTTAAGAGAATAGTTCTGAAGTATCCAAAATTTTATTGTCTGAAGGGCTGGAAAGAAATACCTGTGTGTGCAAAGACCTAAAAATATAAATGCATCACTGTGAGAAGGCAGGACTTGAAATGTCTTTTTAATAGAGGAATGATGAGCACCCAACTCATGGTGGCGCACACTAATAATCCCAGCAGCTCAGGGTGCTAGGGCAGAAGGATGGCGAGTTCAAAGCCAGCCTCAGCAAAAGTGAGGCGCTAAAGTAACTCAGTGAGACCCTATCTCTAAATAAAATATAACATAGGATTGGGGATGTGGCTCAGTGGTCGAGTGCCCCTGAGTTCAATCCCTGGTACCCACCCCCTGAAAAAAAAATTGAGGAGTGATGTATCCTATCCAAACCATGCAATCCTATGTAACCATTAAAATAAGTCAGAGATAGGCCTGCAAATAAATACAAACATATATGATATATAACTTCACAGAAATGGGAAGTAACAGAACCTCTGGGGAAAATAAGTGGAAAGACCCATAAACATACAGTCATCTCTTGGATCCATTGGAGAATGGTACTAAGCTCCCCCTCATTTATCAAAATTCAYGGATGCTCAAGTTTCTTATATAAAATTGCAATAATTTATGTACATTCTTCCATTTATTATTAGTATTATTACTATTACTATTACTACTACTACTATTACTACCAGGGATTGAACCCAGAGGTGCTTAACCACTGAGCCACATCTCCAGCCCTTTTATTTTTTATTTTGAGATAGGTTTGCAACTTGCTTAGGGTCTTGTTAAGTTGCTGAGGCTGGCCTTTGAACTTGTGGTCCTCCTGCCTCAGCCTCTCAAGCCACTGGGATTATAAGCATGTGCCACCGTGCCTGGCATACTTTAAATCATTTTTAGATTACTTATAATATGTAACACAATAAAAATGGTATGTAAATAGTTGTTAATACTGCATTGTTTAGGGAATGATAAGAAAAAAGTCTGTATATGTTCAGTAYAGATTTTTTTAAAAATATTTCCCATTTGAGGTTGGCTGAATCTATGGATATGGAACCCACATAAATACATTTATATTCTGCTTAAATCTTTAATAAGAAGTATGTATTTATGACTTAGCTAATAAACAAAATCATATTAGATAATTTCCAATGAACTACATTCTTACTGAAAACTGATTACCCTAGGCAAGTGCTCAAAGACCCAAAAGGGCTAGCCAAGAATGAATCCTCTTCTTCTGAACCATTCAATGGAATCAGAAAGAAAAACTCATAAATGCTAAACTATCTCTTCACAGAAAAACCATTAACCAGTGATTCAACAGAAAGGAAACAGAGTGGCTCACTTTCGGGCAATGGTGGTCACACGGATGCGCTTCTGGGTACTGGAGTGCTGATACTGCGTGACAAACTGGATGGCACCTCTGCCTCCTTGGGGGATCGGGGCATTGTGCTGCAAGTTGAGARGCCACACACTTGGTTACTATCATAGGCATGACTCAGTCAGGGCCCACTGTGCTCCTCTACAATTGACAGCTAACGTGGTGAGGATCTTGATGCATTCTGAATAGTACATTTTGGACCTGCACATTCATTTCACTGTACATAACTTTTACCTCAAAAAAAAAAAAAAAAAAAARAAARAAAGAAGAACCACATCCATTACTCCTTGGTCTGGGGCTACAGCTAAGGGGTAGAACACATGCTTAGCATGCATTCAAGGCCTTGGGTTCAATTCCCAGCACTGGGGGAAAAAACAAAGCAAAATTGAATCCCAGTTAACAATATATATGCTGAAATGTTTAGGGAGAGATACAACTATGATTGTAAGTTGCTCTGAAATGCATAAGAAATAAGATAGACATACATATAACAAAGCAACTATAGTAAAATCTTAATTACAGATCTACCTGGTAGATATGTGGGTATTCACTATAAAACTTTTTTTCAATTTCTCCATGTTTGCAATTTCTCTTAATAAAATATTGGAGAAATTCTCTAACATTACAATGAAGAGTAATGGCTGGTAAAATGACCTATCAGTTCAACAATAGAGTGATAAAATTAACTTGCTGTCTGAATCTGACTAAGCCCTGGATAGAATATTAAAAGATTATACCATACCAGCATCAGGCCTAAAACAATATAAAGTCACTACTTTTTTGTGGAGAAAGTAATCAAGGAATAGTGGCTTGTATCCAACCCACCTGATTGACAACTTCAAAGTAGATGCCAAGTGTAGATGTAGGATCCAGACCACAGATTTTCCACTGACTCGTGCCACCAACACCAAGCTCCTACAGATGAGAAGAATTTAAAACACAAAAACACAACTCTWCGGTTAACTGTTAAAGAAAAATGCTGATGAACAGATCAGGACACTTAGAACATGAACTCTGAGGTAAAAATTTATATTACAGACCAGAAAAATCCTTAACATTTATATTCAAAGCACTTTAAAATTTTTAAAGTTTTTTAGATTGGCACTCTAAACAATTTTCATTACATCACATATATTAGAATTATCTACTTATTTTTGAAAAAAAAAATTTTTTTTTTTTTTTGGTACCAGGGATTGAACTCAGGGGCACTTGACCACTCTACCACATCCCCAGCCCTATTTTGCATTTTTTTAGAGACAGGGTCTCACTGAGTTGCTTAGCACCTCACTTTAGTAAACTCATGATCCTTCCACCTTAGTCTTCAAAGCAGCTGAAATTTCAGGATTGCACCACTGCACCTGGCTTTTTTTGAAAGTTCTATATACTTCTGACACCATCACTATTAGGGCAAGAAATAAAAGAGTGGCAGAACTTTAGCTGTAAAATACTTCTTTTTTTTTTTTTTTGGTAAAAGCTATATATAAATTGTCAGTAAGGAAACAAAGGAGATCATAATGGTGTGAAGGCTGCTTTTTACTGATTCGATGAATGGCTCCCAGGGATAAATATGAGGTTCCCTTAAACATGAATTTGACATTGTTTTAATAACAATATCTACAAGGAAACAACACAAATATAAAAAAACACCTAGAAACATCAAATGAGATTACCAGACCCTGAAATATATTCTATCATCATAGAGGAGCTGGCACCACACCTTATCTGGATGCAGAATGCTTTGCTTAGAAATACCATGCTTAGACATTAATAGAGTCATCTATGTTACTCGACTCCACCCACACTGCACACTGTCAGCTGAGTGTACAACTGACATCTGTCTGGTGTGGAGCCATGCCAGGGCCCTCCATACCTGGCCACAGAACCAGCGATCTCAGGGAGGTGACAGTTTGAGTGGAGAGGAAAGATTCTTAAGTGAAATTGCACAGCAGTTCTAAGATAGAGAGCAGGGAGGGCACTCTGTTTTGTCAGCACCTCTTATGCAAGACTGTGAGATGGATGGATTTGTAGGTGTTCAGCTTCCATTTTAGAGGTATTCTCTAAAAGAAGCAGGGATTTCACATCCACTGGAAGGTGAAGGGCAAAACCCAGCAAAAATGGCCAAGAAGTCAAAGGAGCTTATGGGTCTTCCCTTCTTTCTTCACTAGCTCCTTCTCTAGGCACTGGACTCAGCAATGGTACAACTCTCCAGTGTCCAGAATAACAATTTCTCTCTAATATACAAATGCCTTACTTAAGCATTTAAATGACTTTATTGGAAAAAGTACAAAAATAGAATTAGAAAACCATCATTTTATAATTTCTAGTGAAATAATTTGATTCAAGTGAAGATAATCAACAGATGCTAAAACCATTAAGCTGTTTGCAAACTGAATTTAATCACACCTTTAAAAACTTTTGCTTCTCAAGAAATACAGAGAGAAAAGAAACAACACAGAGACTCACTCCTTCAAGGAAACCATCAGACATATCAAGAATGTGAGACATCCTATTAGAGAAGACCTCTGGCACTATCTCTTCAATAAATCAATCTCATGTTTTTTTTTTTTAAAGGAAAAGAATATACACAAATGAACAAAAAGATGAAGACTATTCTAGATTTTTTTAAACACTAAGTATAGCTGGGCACAGTGGTGCATGCCTGTAATCACACAATTGAGGAGGCTCAGAAAAAAAAAATCCCAAGTTTGAGGCCAGCCTCAGAAACTTAGCAAAACTCTGCCTCAAAATAAAAAGTTTTTAAAAGGGGTAGATGTGTAGCACAAGGGTAGAGTGCCCCTGGGTTTAATCCCCACTGTTATTAAAAAAAAAAAAAAAAAAGGTTGGTAAAGCTACTGTGTCAAGGAAATGCTAATCAAAAAGATAAGGCAAGTGTGGCAAGAAAAGAGGACACAGCTAAATTATGGCAAACTGTTAACAACTGACAATGCTGAACAGAAATTCTTCCTTAAAACTTCTCTGTATGCTTGAAAATTAGATCTTTCTCTTTGTATCTGCACCGCCAATCAAAACTTTCAGGGCTTAACTCTATTGGAACAGCTAATTGTACTACTTCATAAAAATGTCTTCTTAACCTACTTCACAAAGACTTCACCAGGCATATTTTAAGTCTATGGAAAATACTCTGGTATAGGCAGCCTTTCCAAAGCCCTGCCAGAAAATAGGAATACAAGTCCTTTGGCACTCTGGGGTAATGAGYGACTCTTCAGATGGGCTTTTGGGCAGCAATCTGCCCCACCCAGGGAACTACAGGAATGTTCACTCAAACTGTCTTTCCTCTGTCAAGCTTGACAAAAGTTTAATCTGTGTAGTAACTTGTGAATGTTTGTTCTGATGAAGACAAAGATGATACAGTGAAACAGAACATCTCAAGTAGGCCTCCGGTATGTCAGGCCCTGTCCCAACTGCTTTACCTGATCTACCTTATTTACTCCTCCTAACAAGGCTGTGAAGTAGGCATTGTTATTGTCCCATTTGCCAGATAAAGATATTGAATTACAGAGCAACTGAGTATTTTGCCAGGGCTACACAATTACTGAAAGGGAGTGATGCCCTGAACTCAATTGGTTCTACAGTCCACCCACCCATGAAAGATGACCATGAGGGAAGGACATGACTATGTCATCCCCACCTGGGACCATGCTGCATCAGACCAAAAGCTTTGCTTTTTGGTAGCTGAAGTATATATAATAAGAGGATGTGGGTCATCAGTAAAGCCACTCTCCCAAGTGATGACTGAATTGGTTCACATATACTCACAAATTATTACTAGAAAAAACAATGTCTGTATATGTAACAGTATCATCTGCTGCCTAACCAATTCATGGCAGTCTCTGTTGTAGGAAGGCCCATTATTAGCTGAGAGTGAAGCAAAGATATCAACTCTAAGGGCAGCAAGCATATAGAATCCCTGAAGGATTCTGCTGAATGGTTGCCTTTACTGTAGGGGAAGCCTGTGGCTCCTCAACAGTCACTCACGCATGGGTTGTGGAGTCAGGGGGACCTGGGATCTAGCTTCTACATGTCAGCTCTGATTCTGAGCAAGACTCTAACCTCTGTGACCTGTCAGTTTCTTTCTCTCTAACACCATCTCTCAGAGTTGCCATCAATGAGGGTTAGCCCTTCTCCCCCGACTATAGGTGACAATACAAGATCATTGTGCTCAGACTCATCTAATGAGTTAACTCCAGGGCAGGTGAGGGTGATGGAAGAGTTTCCTTACATTTTCTGACACACAGGGTCCTTTCACGTTTAAAGRTACACATGGACCAATGGCACCAGCAATCTTCAGTTCCCGAGATGTCTAAAATAAATTCACAACAGAGTAAACGTTAAAATCACTAAGATCCATCCTGCTCTTACAACAGGCAAATATGGCAATGTCATTCCACCAAAAGAAAATCCCACATGGATTAAAGCATCCAACTGCTCCCCTACTAACTTTTCCAGGGCTACTTGAATTAATTAAAATTTTWAAAAAATCTGCCTATAGGTGCTGCATGAAGATGATACAGCATTTTCAACTCTCTCAGTTCACTTTTCAAACCTTAAAATTATATACCTAGAAGATAACAATTCTACCAACAAACTACATTCTTTTCCAATCCCATATATGGTCACAATTATTTACATATTTTTTGGTGTGTGCATGTTTTATTTTTATTTTCTAACTTTTAAAATTTGTTCTTTTTAGATATATATGACAGTAGAGTGTATTTTGACATATATATACATGGAGTAAAATTTATTCTAATTAGGATACCATTCTTGTGGTTTTATATGATGGGGAGTTTCAATGGTCGTGTATTCACATATGAACATAGGAAAGCTATGTCTGATATTTATGTATTTCTAACCAGTGAACATACTGTTTTGTGTTGCTTTAAAAATACTTAATTCATGAAGCCCACACAAGGCCAACTTGCTTAGATTTTTTAAGCTGAACTCATTTCAAAAACATCCATTTCTGCTGGGTGTGGTGGCTCATCTCAGTAATCCCAGCAACTCAGGAGGCTGGTACAGGAGGATCACAAATTCCAGGCCAGCCTCCACAACTTAGTAAAATTTGTCTCAAAATAAAATATAAAAAGGGCTGGGATATGGCTCAATGGTAAAGCRAGATTGGGTTCAATCCCTGATACCAAAAAAACAAACAAAACAAAAAAATCACCCATTTCTCTTTAACAACAAAAAATCTCAAACATATGAGAATGTTGTTTAAAGGCTAACCTAGATGATTTAATGATCACCTCCAACTCTCCATAGTTTCTAGTGGCCCTTTTTATTGTTTCCTCAATGACTCAGAGTCAACTGTCTCCAGCGATGAGTCCCTATGTGGGAAAACAAACCAAAACTCACAGTGCTGGCTGTTTTAGAGCACTCTGATAATTCTTCAGGCAAGTACTAATATAAGCTGCTTATGGAATGCAGTTTGTATTAGTATTAGTTTATATTAGTGACTACTGTGTGGCTGCTATGCTGAGGTCACAATGCTGCTTAGAACACTCACCCCATTATCCCACCTCCCAATTTCAACTGTCCTAAAGCAAGGTGAAGGAGGGCCTACAGAGGAACCAAAAACTCATTGTTTAGAATGCTAACCAATACATAGGTCCTCCTCCAGGAGAAAAGAGATAGGTGGATATATGTTATGATAGCAAATTTTTTTAATATTTATTCTTTAGTTGTAGTTGACAAATACCTTTATTTTATTTATTTTTATGTGGTGCTGAGCATTGAACCCAGGGCCTCACTTGCACTGGGCAAACGCTCTATCGCTGAGCCACAACCCCAGCCTGATGACAGCAAATTTTGTAGGGATTATTTTAATTGGCCTCTATATTCCTGTGTCCAGTTGAAGTTGCCAGAAGTCTGATTATTAAACAAGCAGCAACATTCTAGCTGGGTGCAGTGGCATGTGCCTATAATCCCAACTACTTGGGAAGTTGAGGCAGTAGGATCGMAAGTTCAAGGCCAGTCTGGACAACTTAGTGAGATCCTATCTCAAAATAAAAAATAAGAAAGGCTAGGGGGCTGGGGTTGTGGTTCAGTATGGAGTGTTTGTCAAGCATGTGTGAGGCACTGTGTTCAATCCTCAGAATCGCATAAAAATAAATAAATAAATTAATTAATTAAATCTATTTTTTAAAATTCTTAAAAAATAAATAAATAGGGGCTGGGGTTGTGGCTCAACAGTAGAGTGCTCGCCTAGCATGTGTGAGGCCCTGGGTTCGATCCTTAGCACCACAGAAAAAAATAAAATAAAGGTATTGGGGCTGGGGTTGTGGCTGGTAGAGCACTCATCTTGCATGCACGAGACCCTAGGTTCAATCCTCAGCACCACATAAAAAAATAAATAAGTGAAATAAAGGTATTGTGTCTAACTACAACTAAAAAATAAATATTAAAAAAAATAATAATAAAGGTATTGTGTTCAACAACAACTAAAAAATAAATATTTTAAAAACAAATAAAATAGGGCTAGGGATGTAGCTCAGGGGTGGAGCACACCTGAGTTCAATTCCTAGTACCAAAAAAAAAAAAAAAAAAAAAAAGTAACAACACTCTAATTCCATCAACATTTTAAAAGGCTATCATACCTTTACTTCTAAAGTAGCACCAAATGCCATTCGGAAATCTCCATTAAAATCTTTACTAAAGATTCTTTGGAATGTCTGCTTGAAGAGAGAAGTGTTGAAAGAATCTCCCATCACCATGTGGCCTCTAGGAAAAAAGAAAAAGTGAACATTAGTAAGACTGAAAGCCATCCAGATGCTCCCTGGATGTTTACAAAGGAAAAAAAAAGAAACCCATGTCTGTAAAGGTACTAACTCACTTAAATAAAGAACAGCAAGTTTAATTTGTATTTAGGGGGGAAAAAGTTTCTAAAATATTAAACTAAGAATCCTTAAGAATACTTATATATCTTGATTACTATAGCAATTACACAAACCTATAGAGATGATAAAATCTGTTAGAATTAYACCTATTCACATACAAAAGGAAAAAAAAAGTACAGGTAAATAAGGTCTGCACTACARTTAACTGTACTGTGCCAAAGTCCATTTCCTGGTACTGACATTGTACTATGTTTATGTAAGATGCTGCCCCGGGGAAGAGCTAGATGAAGAGTATGAAGAGACCTCCCAGCACATTTATAATTTCTGTAAATCCATAATTATTTCAAACAAAAAGATTTTTTAAAGAGAGTATCCTTTGTTCAACAATCCTAGCAGTTTAAACAGATTATTATGATATTATGATAAATATATACATAAGTATATTTATCTACTACAGACATATAGAGATGTYTATGTATATACTGACATAGATACCTTGGGTTTTTGTCCATGATTCCCAGCCTAACTTCCTCCTCAATGCAAGTTATATAAATAGAATTTCTCTTCCCCAAGGCAAATCCCAGAAACTCTAACCACCAACTTTTCTGTCTTAGAACCGGCCATAAACAAATTCTATGACCTATCTTGTCTGATAAATCAAAAGGCCTACCTCTTACCCAGGAGAATGGAATGTGTACAGAAAGGCCAAGAAAAATACGAACAAGCTATCCTAGGTTTCCCCAGACAACTAGTATTAAATTATATTCTTTTTGCCCAATGACATTTCTACATGGTTAGCCATACTTCAATCATACTTATGTAACAGTTGCCATAACAACCTAAAAGGACAGGGTTCAGATAGTTTCCAGATAGCCAAACACATGCAGGTTCCTAGAAAGTGTGTACCAGAGAGGATGGAAGCTCCATGTCCCTTCCCTCACACCTCTCCTTTTGCACCCCTTCACCTGTATCCTTTATAATACCCTTCACAAGAAACTGGTAAATGTGTTTCCCTGAGTTCTATGTGAGCTGATTGAACAAATTAATAGAACCCAAGGAGGAGTTTAAGGGAAGCCAAATTTATAGCCAGTAACTCATGTGCCTGGATAAAACAACTTGGGGCTTGTGTCTTCTAAAGTGGGTAGGGGCCAGTCTTGTGTGATATGACATTGTGTCCAAATAGGAAGAGTCAGGACTGAATTGAATTAGAGATCCCCAGCTGGTATCTACTGCAGAACTCATTGCTTGCTTGTTGACGGGGACAAACCCACACACACTGTAGGTTCATTGCAGTGCTCCGTGTTATGTGCAAATAGTAGGTGAGACTTGAGTTTGACTTGGGTTTTCTCTATAACAAGAAAACATGTCCAACTTTTCTCATACTTTTTCAGTATTGGAGAATAACCAGCCTGGGGAAAAACCTTTTCAGATTTACTCTGCTGCAACACACTGAATCCTTGACTTCACAGGAACAATTTTTCTAATTGATGAATACTGATTTTTATCCCTTACTGAAGTTAGAGAAAATAYTGTTCAAATTTTCAGCAAGAAGCTCAGCCTGCTTCAGCTACACAACAAGCTGTCATTTATAAAACAGGATCCCAGAATTGGAAAGAAAACAAGAAAGGTTACCTGGTCCAGCTATCTCAATGTCTGAGCCCTTTAGTGAGAGGTCAACAATTTGGCCCCAAATATCCACCCTCCCTTCTTCTTAATCATGTATTCCACAGTTGCTTGGAATAAAGATGATATTCCCAGGGCTGGGGTTGTGGCTCAGCGGTAGAGTGCTTGCCTCGCATGTGTGAGGCTCTGGGTTCGATTCTCAGCACCACATAAAAATAAATAAATAAAATAAAACTATTGTGTCCAACTACAACTAAAAAGTAAATATTAAAAATAAATAAATAAAGATGACATTCCCTAGTGTACCTTGYATGTAGTCACATGACTCACTTTAACTTGATAGAGAATCCTTTATTTCGAGTGGGGCATGTTCTTGCCAGAAGGGCACATCCTTCTTTGGCCTTTCCACCCTGCTACTGTAATGTAGATAGAACTCCTGCAAATACCCCAAGCCACGCACTGCACACCGAGGCAGATAGCTTGATGGGAGCCTCAGCCCTGATGATGATGAAACCAGTATACCAGACAGAAATGAACTTGTTTGGGGTCTTCTGTCATAGTCACACAATCTAATCTAACTCACACCCACCTGCCCCTTGACAACATCCCTGCCAAGTTAGGACTGAACATCTCCCTCCAGAAGCTGCCCACTCCATGTCTGGACAGTTCTCACTCTTTTTACTTTTTATTTTGAGATTGGGTCTTGCTAACTTGCCCAGGTTGACCTCAAACTTGCGATCCTCCTGCCTCAGCCTCCCAAGTAGCTAGGATTACACAGCAGGAACCACCATACCTAGGAAGACCTTTTTTAAAAAAAATATTTATTTTTTAGTTGTAGTTGGACAGAATACATTTATTTTATTTTTTTATTTTTATGTGGTGCTGAGGATTGAACCCAGGGTCTCACATGTGCTAGGCAAGCACTCTACCACTGAGCCACAACCCCAGCCCCAAGACCTTTCTTTATACTGGATGAAATTCTATATCCCGGCAGCTTCACCYATTGTTCCTAATTCTTCTGATCTTTTCTCCACAGAACAACTCTTTAACATTGAATACAGTTCTCATGCTCATCTCTCTCTTTTTTTCTTTTGGTACYGGGGATTGAACTCAGGGGCACTTGACCACTGAGCCACATCCTCAGCCCTAGTTTGTATTTTATTTAGAGACAGGGTCTTACTGAGTTGCTTAGCACCTCACGTTTGCTGAGGTTGGCTTTCAACTCGCAATCCTCCTTCCTCAACCTCCCAAGCCACTGCAGTGACATATGCCTCTGCACCCAGCTGTCTTCAGCTTAGTCTTTTCTAGTTCCTTCAACCATTCTCCACATGGGAATGGGAGTGTAGCTCAATTTCAAGCATTCTCCAGCACTATATAAGCTTGTTTAAAAGGAAAAGCTCACAAAAGTTAAAGCTTGCAACTTAGCAAGCTCCTAAGCAAGACCATGTCTCAAAATAAATAGATAGATAGATAGATAGATAGATAGATAGATAGATAGATAGATAGATAGGGCTGGGGTCATGGCTCAGTGGTTATGCACCCTGGGCTCAATCCCCAGTACAAATAAATACTCAGAATGAAAAATGACATAATCTGTATAAGGTGTGACCATCACCAAAGAAACCAAGATTTTGATTTTCCTCAAAGATAATCTACTCCTATAACCTAGCCTATGATAACCCATCTTTGCAGGAAGTCATCCCAAGCTGTTGGCTCACCTTGAGCACTCAACAAAAACCCTATATCTTTTTATGTCACCATTAAGACATTTATCCAATATGGAATTTGACCTAAATGTTGAGTCTTGTAGGAATCAAATACCTCAATGAGACACTGATAGAAATAATGATACCTCTCCACAAAAACCATACACACACACCCTAGCATACAAACCACAGGATGTTCACAAATACATTACAGCATCTCTGAGTGCTCCAAGTCAAGGACTCCTGAAGGACACCATTCTATCATAAAATGGGAGTGTAGCTCAGTGGTAGAGTACTTCCCTAGATATGCAAGACCCAGGGTCCAATCCCCAGCACTGAAGGGAGAAAAAAAAAGACATTCTCTTTTTTCCAGGTGTTTACTGTGAACATACCCAGTAAGATTTGTACAACACTTCATCTCCAATAGTCCAGTTTGGTCAAGGGCACAAGCATAAATATCAATGCAGTGACCATTTGCAGCAGTTCGATTAGCAAGCATCTCATAGTGCTGTAAAGAGAGGAGAAAACTGTCTTTAGGAAACATTAACATTAATCCCAAGGTATGCCTTAATATACCAAATGATGTAATCAAATATAGGACTATGAAGATCATTATCTTCAAAACACAAAATAAAAAATAGTTTCCAATCTCAACAACCTTCACAAACTTACAGCTATCCACTTGAAGCTCAGAGGCTGGGGCAATAATTTAATAGCAGCCAAGATCTGGAAGATCATCTCAGCAAATAAATCTTTTTGACTGTGACAAGAAGGCCTCAATAAAGCAGCTGTCACTCTAGAGCAGTCTAAACCTGACACCAGGTTAACACAATTAACCCATACCCAAGAGAACCTACCTTGRTTGCCTTTTTCATGAACCGTGCATTATCCTTCTCAATATCATGCCAGGAACGAATAGGAATCTTTAATTCATCYCCAACCACCATGCCAGGCCCTTGTGTGGGGGGACCTCCAGTAAATAGCATGATACGGGCTCCTGTGTTTGGGAAAGTACCCTGAAACAGTAAATAGCAGCATATTAGAAGGATATAGCCCATCTCCAAGTGTGTTTTCAATTTCCCTATAGAAATATTCCAAAAGATTCTCCTGAGCTTTTTTTTTTTTTTTTGCATTGGGGATTGAACTTAGGGTCTCATGCATGCTAAGCACGTTCTCAGCTCCTCATCAGCTGTTAATACTGATGATACAGCAGAATGATATAAATGACAATGCAGAAAAGCAGCACTTACTTTCTCTCACCCTAATGGCTTTATATACTTTTACTACTTTATTCTGAGCAGTTCCTATTGCTCTAATTCCCTTATTTTTTCTTGAAAACCTTTAGGAGCTCCTTCAATGTAAATAATAACAATGACTTTATGTCACAGTGAATTTTCAAACAAAGCCAACAAATATGATTTTTTAAAAATATTTATTTTATAGTTGGACACAATACCTTTATTTCACTTAACTATTTTTTACGTGGTGCTGAGGATTGAACCCAGGGTCCTGCAGGTAGGTGCAAGATGAGTACTCTACCGCTGAGCCACAACCCCAGCCCCAAATATGATTTTTTTTTTTTTGATGTTTTCCCATTGCTTTTATTTATTTTTTTTTTTTTATTGTTGGTCGTTCAAAACATTACATAGTTCCTCATACATCATATTTCACAGTTTGATTCAAATGAGTTCCAAATATGATTTTTAAGAGCAAGTTTGTATGATGTGAGAGAGCCCCATAAATTCTCAATTACCTCCAATAAACCAACAGCAATGGACAAAGCAACACCAGTGGATCTCAAAGGTCTCTTCCCTTGAGTTACTGGCCATGGGTCTCTCTGCAGCTCCCCAAGAAGATCAGTGAGGTTCATATCAATYTTTTGAATGGGCTGCAGAAATCTGTAAGATTTTGAATGGACATATCAATTATAGTTTAATAAGGTAGCMTGGTCTTCCAACCTTGGTGACATGTAATTATTTAAAATAATTATTCAGAGTAGGAAAAATTTGCCATTTTTTTCTTCAAAATTGTCTCTACAAACACAAAACAATTCAAGGCAATTTTACTAAGGAATATAATTTAAAACCTAATATTCAGTGATATATATATATTATATATATACATATATATACATATACATATATATAGAGAGAGCATGCACTAGCGAGATCATGCGCTAGCACCGGGGAATAAAATCAACTTAAAAGGGAACAAATCAGTTTAATTAAATTTTAAGCAGCAAAGAAATCCTAAGGGGTCTGGGGTTGTGGCTCAATGGTAGAGCGCTTGTCTAGCACATGAGAGGCCCTGAATTGGATCTTCAGCACTACATAAAACTAAATAAATAAAATAAAGGTATTGTGTCCAACTACAGCTAAAAAGTAAATATTTTTTTAAATATTTATTTTTTGGTTAGACACAATACCTTTATTTTTGTTTATTTAGTTTTATGTGGTGTTGAGGATCAAACCCAGGGCCTCGCGCATGCTAGGCGAGCGCTCTATCACTGAACCACAACCCCACCCCTAAAAAATTAATATTAAAAAAAAAAATTCTAAGGACTTGTCTAATGGAAATTTTATCTGTATGTGGTCCACTTATGTGGACAATGTGCACAATTCTAAAGGTTCAGTTTGTGTGTCCCTTGAACTTTAGAGTAACACAAAGAGAAATCTTGTTTCTTAAGAGAAGGAAGCTGTCCCCAGSCTGGCAGACAATGCATTTTATCAAGTTTACTAGCAGTTAACACAGCCTGGGTCGGCACTGGACACTCAATTTAACTGAATGAAGTATCYGTACATAAGCTTTTTTGAGAGCACTCAAAAGAGGTCTTTTCCATTTTTGCAGTTTTATTTAAGAATCAAAAAGGATAATAGCCATATGTCCAAGAAAGAGGGGAATGAATGAATACAGTGGTCTGAAAACCTTTTTGATATAAGATTAAATATGGATTAAGCTTGTTCATTGACTTTTTTATCTAATCATAAGAAAACTGACATACTTGCATTGCTTTTCCTTTATTTTCATGTCAACGTGCATGCTTACTACAGCACTTAATACTGTATGTCAGCATCTCACCTGCTTGAAACAAAAGGGTGCTCCTGAGGTTGAGCAGGTCTTGCTTGCAGCATGGGCATGGCTGGCTTAGACAAACCCAGCATATCCTAAAAAAACCAAAAGAATAATTTCCCATCACATTATGAGTAAATAACTGATTAATTTTTTTWAAATGTCCTTGCAACCATTTCTATACAAACCCAGCACAGACCTGTATTTGCTTTGCAGTTAAATCCTTGGTCCCTCGGAAGACATAACTTTTGGAGATTCCTTCACAGCTCAGTTCATGAACCTGCACCATCCTTCCGAAAGTGATCAGACCCACCAGAGCATCTGGAGGAAGGAGACTCAGGGACATCTGCAGGGATTCTTTGAGAGCTTGAAGGTCATCTTCCTCCAGGCATGTGTCAACCACATAGAGAAAGATCAGAGGAGACTGTACACCTCGCTTTAGGGAAAGGAAAAAGCATGATGATCAGTATACAAATACAAACAAATCAGGCATGTAAATGTCAAGTCTTCAACTACATTTATTCTCAGGAGGACACCTACACAAACTTCTACTTACCCTGACGCAGATTCTATTAAAACAAACTAAATATAAAAAATATTTGTGGCTAGGGATAGTGGCACATTCTATAGTCCCAGCAACTCAGGAGGCTGAGGCAGGAGTATCTCAAGTTTGAGGCTAGTCTCAGCAATTTAATGAAGACCTAAGTAATTTAACAAGATCCTGTCTCAAAAAAAGTAATAATGAAAAGGACTAGATGTGTAGCTCGGTGGTAAAACACCTCTGAGTTCAATTCCCAGTACCAAAAAAAAAAAAAAAAACCCTGTTTGTATCTAACAAAAGTATTCGACATTTCTGAATACCTACTATGTGTCAGACCTTGGTCTAGGTCCTGGGATATATCAGTACATACATAGAAAAAACAAAGATCCCTGCCTATCTCAAGGAGCAAACTTTCTGGCAAGGGGAGATTAGGGGAACAGCAAACGCCAGGAGTGCAARCAGAGGTCAAGTTCAAGGTCAGAGTAGCCTCAGTAAGAAAGTAACATTTGAGCAAAAGCCTGAAGAAGGGAGCAAGAAAGCAGCCATACAGATACAGATAGAGAAAAGAGCCAGAGCAGTGGAAAAAGCCCGAGCAAAGGCCCATGGGCAGGCATGTTCCTGCATGCTTCAGGAGTCTAGAAGGCCCACAGAGCTGAACAATGACACTAGCAGAAATTAAGCTCAGAGTGGTAAATCACAGGGCTTTGAAACTATATTTTACTCTGGGTAAAAAGGGGAGCCATTTTTACCACTGGAGGTTTCTGAACAGAGAAGTAATGTGAAACGGATTTTTAAAGTTACTCTGAGGGCTGGGGTTGTGGCTCAGCAATAGAGCGCTTGTCTAGCTCACGTGAGGTGCTGGGTTCAATCCTCACCACCATGTAAAAAATAAAAAATAAAATGAAGGTTTTGTGTCCAACTACAACTAAAATATATATATATATTTTTAAAAATTTTTAAAAAATAAAATTACTCTGACTTCAGGGTTTAGAATACAATACAACACTAGAGAAGAATAATGTTACCTCAGACTAGGTAGAGGGAAGTGAAGGGAGGGGAAGGGAGGGGATGTGGGGATAAGAAAGAYAGTACAATGAAACAGACATTATTATTATATGTATATATGTGACTGCATGACCAATATGATTCTACAACATGTATASGCAGAAAAATGAGAAATTATATCCCATCTATGTATGATATATCAAAGTGCATAAATACATTCTACTGTCATGTATAACTAATTAAAACAAATTTTAAAAGAATACAATACAAATAGGCAATAATAAAATCAAGGAGAATAGTTAGGAGACTGATCTAACAATTTGAATGGGGTGGGGGCTGTGGCTCAGTGTTAGAGTGTTTATCTAGCATGTGTAAGGCTCTGGGTTCAATCCTCAGCATCACATAAAAATAAATAAATTAAATAAAGGCATTGTGTCCATCCACAACTAAAAAAAAATTAAAAAAATAATTCAAATGAGAAATTGTGGCTAGATTAGGATAATTAGGAGTAAGAGAGAAAAAAGGGTAAATTCTAGATAAATTTTGAATATTGAGCCAATAACATGTTATAACAGATTAGATATGGGATGTGAAAAAGAGAGGTCAAGGACAAGTACTTTTAAACTGAACAACTACATGATGGAGCAGCACCCTCAACAAAGACTGAGAAGGCTTTAAAGGTCGGCTTTCTAATTCAATCAGTTCCACCGTTTTTTGCAGCCTTCTACCAAGACCTGAAAACAACACCAGTGTAAGTGCTTACACACTGTAACCTCATGTTTAGGATCCTTCTGCCCCAACAACTTTAGGTCCTCTGGACTGGCAAGAGACACAGAAAACAAAGGATTTCAAGAGATACTCAGTGTTCATCACATTTCATTAAACACACAACAAGGAATTTACCTGTATCACATACTCAATTGTAGAAAACTGAGGCATCAATTCAGCAGGTTGATTCACCTCAGATATGCCTGCATAAGCTGGAGGAAACTGAAAAGAAAGCAAAGCACTGTTTTGTGAGGGCTGAAAGATATTTATGTTACACCTTTTATTTTCCATTTATAAAGATGATTAATGATTATATGTTAATTCTGAGAGCACAAAATGGAAAACATTATTAAAACACAAAAAAATCAGTAATTAAATTCTGCTTTACATTCATATCATTTCATAAGTTTAAAAAAGTATTTTATTCTTTAGAGTAGGTTTAAGTTATGTTAAAACATTTAATGGTTTAAAATCACTCTATTAGAAGAAGCTAAAAGCCCTAGTGCCATGCCAGTAATCCTATCTTCTTAGAAGGCTAAGGCAAAAGGATCAAAGTTCAAGGTCAGCTGGCACAATTTAGACTCAGTCTCAAACTAAAAAAGATTTTTTTTTAAAGGGTTAAGGATGTAGCTCAGTACAGAGCACCAATGGTTTAATCTAAAAACAAACAAAACCACATGCTATCACAACTGTTTCTTAAGCTTTGCCTTGCAAACTAAAGGCAAAACATTTACCTGTTTCATCTATAAAGAAGACTAACACCTTTATTTATAATTTTGACAGTTATCTCTGGAGTAGCTGTGRTTTTAGGCATGTACCACTGTGCCTGTCCCCTCTAGACCTTTCCACTTGAGCACACCATATATAACAATCACTTCATATAAACAATTTTGGGACCTGCTTTTGCATATAAAATAATAACAYAGGCATTTCCTTTTGTTTTTAAAACTCTCTGCAAACATTTTAAATTCATAGTTTGTGGACTGATTTTTCAGTCTTCAGCTTAATATTTAAAAGTTTAGGTATATCTCTCCAAATTTAGCAGGTGGATCTCTCCAGGCCAGTGACTTTAGAGTGACCAAATGCAAATCCTGCTGAAGAGATGACAGCAGCCTTAAAGAGTCACTGGCCAGGAGGGAAGGAATATTGGGCATCAGAACTCCAGCAGAAATCTCAGTATATGCCATCAAAAGATCTCCTGTCCTCTTTCTGGCCATGACTACCCAATGACTGCAGCTTGCAGAAAAGGGTAGAGCTTTATCTATGTCTGCAAAATTTGGGGAGTAAACCCAGACATACTGGCTACCTTCTAGCAATCTGGAGATGTCCTATTTACCTAACAGGCAGTCAACTGCACAGAAAAAGAGGACAAGATACCCCAGTTCCTCCAGGGGGCCATCTCTATCTACTACCCCAGACTCAATGAGGGGTTCATTTCCTCATCGTTGAGCTGGGAGAATAACAAAAGAWTATTTAAGCATACGACAGTCTTTCACATCACACTTCCAGACCAAACTGGCAGGTGGAGATCTCAGATAAATATACTAATACCAAATACTTATATGGCACCTAGTGTGTCAARCACTATTTAAAGTCATTTACATTCATTAATTCTGTTTAATTCTCACAAGAATTTCATAAAGTACCCATAGTACTATTATGTTAATTTTATTTTATTTATTTTTTCCTTTATTTTGTTTATTTTTGTGTGGTGCTAAGGATCGAATCCAGGGCCTTGCACGTGCTAGACGAGCACTCTACCGCTGAGCCAAAACCCCAATCCCTATGTTAATTTTAAAGACAAGAAAATTGAGGCATAAAAGATCAAATGCGACCCTGCCTTAGATTTTTTATGATAAATTAAACATGCATTAATTCTGAATGTTAAGATTTGTATAAACTTCTGAATTTCTCATGGAGATTTTTTTTTAATTGCTAAGAATCAAATTCTACCATTGAGGTACATCCCCAGCCCCTCATGGAAATAAATCTCAAATATAATCAGCTTATAATTTCTGAACCTACTGTCAGTCGTCAACTGTACTTGTTTTTCCATCACTGGATTTACTATGCACTGTATCTAGGATTAATCATAATAAATTCATGTTATATTACCAGCTTAAGAGCTATGAGCACAATGTATGCTCTATTGTGTACAATTAATTTTCCTCAACACTTCATTTAAATATAGTTTCCATGCCATAAAATTCACCAATTTTAAGTGTAAAATTCAATGATTTTTAGCAAATGTATTGAATAATAATCAGCACAGCCCAGGTTTAGAACATTTTTATCATAGACAATTATTATTATTATTTTATTTTTTAATTTTCTTAGTACAGGTATTGAATCCAGAGGCACTTAACCACTGAGCCATGTCCCCTTTTTATTTTTTTATTTTCAGACCATCTTGCTAAGTTTCTTAGGGACCCACTAAGTTGCTGAGGCTGGCTTTGAACTTGCAATCCTCRTGCCTCTGCCTCCCAATCTCCGGGATTACAGGCATGAGCCACTAAGGCCAGCAGACACAGTTGATTTTAAAGAGAAGTCTTGACTGGGGGTATCACTCAGTGATAAAGCATGTGCTTATTATGAACAAGGCCCTGGGTTGGTCCCTATCACCTACACCCCATAAAGGGTCTCTCTTCTCATTTATAAGCTTCTTTTAGTTTTAAATTTTTTAAATCAAAACTTCAATACTGATACTTGAATTCCAAGGTTAATACAAGATCAGAAAACAAAACTTCAGTAATATTCACTACCCWATTAGAATATAATGAAGTTAAGTGAAATATGAACAKCTGGGCATAGTGGTGCATGCCTGTAATTCCAGCTACTCAGAAAAAGGCTGAGCAGGAGGATCAGAAGTGTGATGTTAGCATGGGCAACTTTGTGAAACTATGCCTCAAAATAAAAAAAGGGCTGGGGATGTAGCTCAGTGGTAGAGTACTTTGCCAGCCAGCAAGAGGCCCTGAGTTCAATCCCCAGTAGCACACACACATACAAAAAGAACAACAGATCTATGTTCTTAGGGTAACAGATTCATGACCTACAGAAAACCTACAAGGAAAGAGAATGTTATGTACTCTACACAGCAAATGACAAGAATCCAAATATGGAAAAATTATAAATGTTCAACATTCAATATTGTGCTTAACAAAAGCTATCACCTTCAGTTCAGCAGAAACTGCTGACTGCTAGCATAGATATTCAATTTCACATAACTTTTTCAGAGTAACATACAAGAAATGAAACTTATAAAATATTTTTTAAAATAATTCATACCTGATTTCTCTGGAAACAGAAATTACAAGCCCAAAGTTTTGCTCGATAATCAACCTGACTGTGAGAAAGATAAATATCACAACTAGGTACCATTTTTATTTTTAAGGTAAAAAATATTCAAATGTAAACTTCAAATTCAATAAATCACAGACTGGTATTTCTATGTTTGTGTATAATAAATGACATTTTACAAAATTTCAATGCAGTTAGAGTTCTGGCTATTAAGTACATAAAAAGTTTCCCTCAAACAACTTCAATGAAGAATTAGCAAATCCCTTTTTCTCTTTTCCAATATCCTAGATAAATTTTTAAAATTTCTTGACTTATATAAATTATGAGTTAATTCCTTTTGCCTATTACCTTAACCCAATCTTCAGGATTTTTTCTAATATCTTTATTGTTCAGCCAAGTGAAACTACCAAATTTTGATAATAAAGGCACATTTCACACACAGGAAAAATTTCTTAGACTTTAACCTCACTTGAGTTAATATACTTCCTATCCCCTTTTATAGGTTTAAAAAATTAATAAACAGTGGCTATAATTTTGAAAGCAGAGCAGCAGCATTCTTAATATGCACAGCAAGGAAAATAAAGTAAAAAATGTTCCCTCATATAAAAAATTTTATGACCACTTGCCACGTAYTTCAAAATTTCAATCTTGCAGTCCCATCTACTTGGAAGACAGGAGGATCCCTTGGGTTCAAGATCAGGCTGAGTAACACTAAGACTCTACTTTCAAAAAATAATAAATAAATACAATAAGAATTCTTTCAAATTGTATCCACATGTGTGCAAAATAATATAGGTCAAGATATTATAGGTCATTATCTTAGGAACAAAAAAAATTACACTTAACAATAAAATCATTAAGAGTTCAAATTTCTTCTGATTATTACTTCTTCTAGTCCTACAACATCAACACACTAGGCAAGTATAAAAAAAAAAAATAACCTGAAGCTTTTAGATTTTATTTTTGTGAAAAATACTTTAAAAGGTATCTCATAAAGTATACAGATAAGCCAAAAGCAAACTGATAAAAAGCAAAAAAAAAAAAAAAAAAAAAGTTAATTAGTGAATTCCAGATCCTCCCCTTTTATCCCCCTCCTCTTCCTATAAGATTCTAATTTTATCTGGAGATTAGGCCAGGGAGATTTCTATGCACACTCATCACTAAGAATCTCATCATCTACTACTCATCTCAAATTTGACAACTTGCCCAAATCAAATTAATTGTATTCACCATTTTTAGCAGTTTTTAAAAGAATTCATACCAAAGTGGATTGAGAACAGCTTTGCAAGTTGGCCTGCTGCAAAGCACAGGTTCATACTGTACAGGAGGCAGGTCTGGTCGTTCTTTCAAAGGAGTAAGGAGACAAGCCAGTGGAACAACCATTCTCGTGGCCTCAAGACGGCTGGAAGGCCACACATTCCAACTGAAACGTACACCATCTCGTTCTTCATTCTGCTGAATGAACTCCAGATATGTTGCCATAGTCTAAAAGGGAACTAAAGATAAAGCTTTAGCTATATATTTGAGATTCTCAGCTAAACCTCAAAAAAGAAGACAGTCATCTAACATAGCATTTCTTAAATACTTAGCTGGATACTCCTGGATAAAGATATCTATCTTCCCAAAGTTGATTAACTCAGTTATCTTTAACTATTGCTCTTTTCTTAATCCTCCTCTCTAGCACTTAAAACAAAACAAAACAAAACAAAACAAAGTGGTGGGGAGTTTTAATCATCATCTCTAAATTAAGTGTAGCTGAATACTCCACTTTAACATTTATTTATTCATTTTTGAGGTGCTGGGGATTGAACCCAGGGCTTCATACATAATATGCAAGTACTCTTCTACTAAGCCACACCCTCCCACCCTTGCCAGCAATATTACTTTAAACTTTCTTACAGATCACACATCATCTCAGACAAGCCAATTCTGCACTTGACCAAGGGTAAGTCTTGAATCCTGTTTCAGCATCAATACTGTATTAAATTTTACATTCCTAGTAATCTTGGTTGTGTGTCTTTTCCCATCCACCTTTTGTTAACTGTACAGTAAAGAAACATATACTGATCTGGAGTCGAGCTTATAAGGGGGACAAGTTCTGAGATAAAATATTTCTATTTGGTATTATCTAATTGCAAWGGAAAGCTTACTATTATGCTGGCTCTCATCAGGACCTTCTCCCTTACCAAGGTTGCTTTTACTCATGCCTTTTCTTTTTTTTTTTTAATGTTTTTTTTTGGGGGGAGGGTATGCTCATGTCTAAAGACTGGTCAATAAAATAGTACTTCAGACTAATCTTTTAAGCCCAGACAATCCCAATTTCACTGAACTGAGTGTTTTATACATCCTGTTCATGTCCTGGAATCTAGGGTGACACACACCTAAGTTATTGTAGTTCAAGGAAACTAGCCCCTCAAGAAAAAAMAAAAAAAAAARAGAGATCAAAGAATCTGTGATATTAAAGTGATCACTAAGGAGGACCTCATCTAGTGCTGGATAACAACCAACCCCATACTATTTTGAGAAGTGCCATACTACAAATAATTTGGATTAAGGCTCTTATATTACATGGCCAGAAAAGCAAATTAAGTATTACACAGACAACCAAAATTCAAAATGTGAATTTCACTGAAACACTAAGCCAGCTACTTGTTATCTGAGCAAAAGGGAGAAGCTGAAGCATTGTTTACACAGAAGGCACTTCTGCAGCTTCCTGAAGGGGAGGGAGCAGGAAGAGCTAAATCAGGTAGTCAGGGGAGCCAGTTCTAATATCATAATTCTCACAAGTACCTCAGCAAGATTCATTAAATGACCATTCCCCTCTCAAAATTGTTATTAAAAGGTATTAATCCCCAAGTAYGCACATAATAAAACTTTCTCCATCTGTTTACCACTGCCCCTCCCCCTCACTCTTCTAGATCACTGATTCTTAACCTCGGGCAAATAATTCACAGAGAATTTTAGAGAATCCACAGACTTTCTTAAGTCATATGCAAGATTGTGTGAATGAGAGAATGCATCCTACCAAGGAAATTAGATTCACGTTCTATACCAAATTCTCAAAGAATAAGGGTATGAAGAGGTCAAATAGCTGAATGAATGAATGAATGAATGAATGAATACTGTACGAACGGATGAAAAGCCTAGGAAGATACTCTAGAAGCATCCACCCCCAAATCTGAACGACCCTCATCTCGCCCAGGCGTAACTTTTCAGGGCATAGTGGCCATCTGCAGACAAGATAAAGTTTAGTTCTTTACAGGTGTCTGAAGACCTCTCTCACAAACCAAAACGTTCGAATGGCTAAGTTATAAAATGGGAGCAGGATTCTTCCGGCTGTGCGCAGCCAGCAGTTCTAAAGACTTAAGAATCAGAAGCCGGTGCTCTGCCGGCCCGGCATGGCGGGGGACCCGTCACTTTCAGTAGACTCTTGGGTCATCGATTCGCTCCGTTTCCCCTGCCTACCAGAAAAGGCTTCATCCCAGAAGCAGCCCACCTCGCCCTGGCATATGTGCCTCTGTCCGCGGCTCTCTACCACGTATGCATCCCACTCACCTGGCCGGAGCCGATCGCTTGGCCARTGCTGTCCGCGCCCACAGCTGGAAAAGCTAGGCTCCAGCTCTCACCGCCAAGTCCAGCTCAGCTCTCAACCAATTGGTCAACACTCTGACACGTCATACCACAGCGACGTGCGCTAGCCAATCACAGAACGCTTATCCAGCCGACTAGAGGAAGCGATGTTGTCAAGAAAAAATTCTCCGCCTTCTAGCGATACGGCAAAACAGCGCTGACTCGCACTTCAAACCATAGATGCCACTTCCCTAAGATTGCCACTAAAGGTTTCTGCTTCAGAAACTCCAGGCATTGCCGGAACATTCCCTAGACACAGCCAGCCTTCCCAGGGTGGCCGCCCTGACGCAATATGACGTATGCTTGCCTCAGTGGAAAATCCGCCTCCTTGCCTTAGTTACSGGAATGCGAGAACCGTGACGTGGGGCTCCGGAAGTAGAAGCCGTGCAACTGGAGGAACCTGGAGCTGTCTGGAAGAAGGCCTCAACATACGGGGCTGGGGGCTGGAGAGAACTTGGAGCGGCCAGCTGGGTACTTGTTTGTCCAGGGAGCTTGTCTTTACTTAAGATTCATTTTAAGTACAACAGGTGTAGTAGTGCTTTTTCATCTTTCACGATTTCCTCTTTTCCCTTGGAATGGCTTCACTCTCTTAGTGGAGACCAGCTCTAGCGCACAGTCCCTCTTTGCACCTCCATTCCTATGCCGAATTGAGAACTGTCATATTCAAGTACTTTAGGAGACTGACAAAGTTCATGTTTACATGGGACACAGCTTTCTTTTTAAAATTTATTTATTTATTTATTTAGTTGTAGTTAGACACAATATCGCTATTTTATTTATTATATAAATATATTTTATTTATATATTATAAATTATTTATTTATATGTGGTGCTGAGGATTGAACACAGGGCCTCACACGTGCTAGGCGAGCACTCTACCACTGAGTCACAACCCCAGCCCTGGACACAGCTTTCTATAGCCACAACCATTTTTCACTTTCTTACAAGGTGGCTCATTCATTAACTTACTAAGACAAAATCTTCCTGTAGCATATTTTAAAACCCTAAAAAATAAAAGTATATATCTAGGCATTCAAGAAGTATGCATTAATTAGCTCAAAATTAGGGCAATATTTTAAATTACCTACAGATCAGAAAAATTAGTTTAAGTCAATGTACTATGAAATATAATGTCCGTAATATAAACCGTTTGTCAGAATAATAATTCACTTTGTTGAACAAACTTTCATTTATCATGATCTTAAACATTATGCATTGTTAATGTTAGCTTATCTGATTAGTAAACTTATATMCGTTTAGGAAATTGAAAGTAGTTATTCTCTTTGTAAGGAAACAAGCCCAAGTAAGAACATGTGCACATGTATTATACTTAACACTGAGAAAGAATATAACTGGTTTGGTTTGGTTTTGAGGTCCTGAAGATTGAACCCAGGGCTTCACACATGCTAGACAGCCAATGTACTACATCCCCAGGCCTTTTTGAATTTTTCTTT